TTTCTGGTTCTTAGAATAATTTTGTAAACAATAGATATTTATAATTTTAAAATAATAATTTTGGTATCTAACTATTCTATAGTATGCCATAAGACTAAGAAAAGTAGAGACATAAACAAGTGTAGGGTAATTGTTGTACTAAGTGAATGATTCTAGAACATTATAACTTTGATGAGTCCTAAGTGTTCAAAGTAAAACAAAGGTAAGGTGACAGAGTGAATACTTCAAAAAAAAGTAATAACAAGATATATAAAGTCACATTAAGAAAATCTTAATTTTGGAATGCATCTTGCAAGTTAAAAATAAGAACAGAGAAAAAACAATAATTGAACATATTTTTGAGAGTTACTTCATCAGAAATTGAAGACAATGCAGATGTTTGTAGTTTAGGCAAAAATAATAGGGGGATGAATTTGAGGAAAATTCACTTGTATGTAAAGAACATATGTAAGGATCAAAAGATGATAAATTCTGAATGAATAGCATTCTAGTTTTAATATAGAGGTGGGGTGACAAGCACAAGGACACACTGTGAAATCTTAGTGACTGACTACATGTGAGAGATGTGAAAAGCAAAAGTAATGGGCCACTTTCAGGTGTGTAATTTGGCATCTTGTTGATAGAGATATGAATAAATAATCATAGTGTCAGAGAGAAATAAAACAGCATTACTGAGCTTGATGTTAACACATACAGAGGAATAAAAAATTATGAAGAAATTTAGGCCATCAATATATTATTGGATTCATAATCATATATTTTTTCAGAATTTTACTCGCAATAGATTATATTAATAGCATATTTGGCCTATGGAAGAAAAATGCAGAATCTGTTTTGTTTATTTAGGGATTTATTATTATTATTATAATTATTATAATTATTTAATTTTTGTATAGCACAGACCATTCTCAGGGCTTAATCTTGGTTCTTGTTCAGGTTTCACTTATGGTGAGGTTCAGAGGACCATAAATATATGGTGACAGGAATCAAATGCCAGGTTGTTCATGTTCAAGGCAAGCACACAGTCCCCAAAATAGAGAATTTTAAAAATTATCAGGGTTGAAACTCCAGGGAGTCATTAGAATTAAAACAGTAGATAAGACGATAAAATAATGGTTAAAACATTTTACTCTGAGAGAAAAAAAAACAGCTGGACAATTAATTACATGGGGGAAAATGCTTTTCAGCAAATGATGCTGAAACTATATACTCACATAGATCATATATCAAAATTGACTCCAAATTGAATATCTATTAAACAAGTAATAAAAGTATAACAAATATAAAGAATAAAACTTTTAGAAGAAAATATGTAGCACTGCAGTACTGTCCTCCCATTGTTCATTGATTGGCTTGAATGGCACCAATAACGTCTCCATTGTGAGACTTGTTAGTTTTGGCATATCAAATACATCACGGGGAGCTTGCCAGGCTCTGCCGTGCGGGTGGGAAACTCTCAGTAGCTTACAGGGTGGGCTCTCTGAGAGGGACAGACGAACAGAATCCAGGTCAGCCGCGTGCAAGGCAAACATCCTACATATTCATATTATTGAGAGGCAAAGTCTTAGATATCAGAAGTTCAAAAATTAAGAACAAATAATTAAGAAAACATGTACTTCAAGAAAGTTGAAAACTTTTGCTACAAATTACATCATCAAGAAAGTAAACATAAGAGTGATAGTACAGTTAGTAGGGAGTTTGACTTTCATAGGCTTGACCCCAGTTCTATCCCTGGCACTCCATATGGTCCCCCAAGCCCTGTCAGAACTGATCCCTCAGTGCAGAGTGAGTAATGAGCCCTGAGGAACCCCTTGTGTGGTGCCTCCTCCCACCAAAAGTGAAAATATAGGTTGTGTGAAAACATTGGCATGTATGTAATAGAGAGAGAGAGACAGAGAGAGAGAGAGAGAGAGAGAGAGAGAGAGAGAGAGAGAGAGAGAGAGAGAAAAGCAGGGGGTGGGGGCTGGGGGGTGATGGGAGGGAACCTGGGGACACTGGCCTTGGAGATGTATACTGGTAGAGGGATAGGTGTTGGAATACTATATGGCTGAAATCCAATCATGAATGGCTTTGTAATGCTCTAAAAATTAATAAAAATAAAAAAATTAAAAATAAATTTCACAAAGATATATATATATACACATACATATGTAAGTATATATATACACATATATGCGCACTTAAAGTAGGCAAAGATTTTGAATAAACATGTCTCAAAATTATACAGGAATGGCAAATAAGCATCAAATCAATACTAAACACACAATGAGATGCCACTTTATTCTGATAACTCATAAAAAATTAAATTGAACACACAAAAATTTGTAAGGATATAGAGAAATTGCAGTCATTATGAACTACTAGTGTGATTAGTGTGATTCTACAACAGAAGTCTGTTTTGACGGTTAAGCAAAATTCATTTCTCAAAAAAATTAAAGAGTGCTTTTTGGGGCCCTTGAGGTAGTACTGTTTACAATAGCCAAAGTTTGCAAATAGCCCATGTGCCTAAGAACAGGCAACTGGATAGAGACTGTACTACATATATGCAATGAAGTACATCTGGGCCGTAAGAAAAGATGATGCCATGCACTATGCTGCTAAATTGATGGACCTGGAGATTATCATGGTGTCTGAAGTTAGAGTGAGAGGGAAAGTCACAGAATATTCTTTCTAAAATAAACAAACATAGAAGAGGGATTATAAATGACCAAAGGCAATATAAAGGAAGAGCATGAGGAATGATCTTCAGTAAGGAACTAGCCATTGGGGTGGGGATGGGAGGAATAGTCAGGGAAGGGAATGCTAAGATAAATGGTACAGGAGAAAATGTGCCTGCCATAGAGGCAGGCTGGGGAGTGAAGGGGAGTGGACACTGTTGAAGAGATCAGTGTTCGATAATTGCCCATAGGAAGCTTAATAATGAATAACTTTATAACATTGCAATTCAATGATTGAATATTAACAAAAATCTGTTCCACAATAATGAACATTATTTCCTACCATACACAATTTTATTACCAAACATCCCTATGTTGTACAAGTAACTCAAATAACAACAACTTTTTTTGCTAAATAGAAAACCTATTGTTAGAATATTTAGGCCAGAATAAACTGACAGAGTTCTATTTTAGTAAAGTGCAGTGCATTTTCCTTTGTAAATGGCAAGCAATTCACAAGTGAGTTAATTTGTATATTCCTAGTTACATATTGTTAAGATCTTCTGTTTGCCCTCAGGAAGTGGTGTTCATTTTGTTCAAGTTGTTACTTAATTTATCTTAGTTAAACTCTAGTGTTGGAAGAGAGAACATGACTGCCACTTGTTCTGCATGTTAGATTCTGACAATTCTTCCTCTTACCCCAAAATTCAAATTCTGCCTATGTTCCCATGCTAGCAGTCATTTCAAGGACATAACTTGAGCAAGTAATAGAGCCAATCTGGTCAGTCAATGTTTCTACATACATCTCTAAGATTCTGGTCGATGAGTTCAAAGATCTTATCCTGCAGGTACTCAAGACTCCTACGTAAATTACCTCCCTATTAAAATTGTCACCTACCACTTGGGAAAATTTGCTTCCTTTCTGGTTCTCCTGGCTCATCTTGAAAGAGGTCAAGTGACAAACCACCCTCTGGGGTGTAAAAGCAGTATGCATTTGCCTTACACTTTAGTTGCATTAAAGTGAAAATTAAAAGCCATATTCATAAATCAGACGATTTCAAACCTTAAAGGTTTTCATCAAAAATTTGCTGTGAAGTTTTGCCCTGGCCCTTCAGTAAATGAAATATGAAATATATGCTCTAGATAGTGGTTCCTAAATGACATTTGACCTTTATAAGGTCTTTAGTGCATTTTAAACTATTGAAAATAAACTCTGTATTAATCACTGAACTAGTTGGACAGATTATGATGTTCCAGGCAACAGTAGTGTATTTAAAATTTAGAAGAGAAAGAAAAGCAAGGGACTCTGTTAAAAAAATATAAAACCAGTTATTATTTGATCTTTAGTTTCTTCTCTAGAGAACTGTCTTTATTTACATGATAGTTTTTCTAAAAATTGTAAAAAGAAAGTATCATGAAGAAGTGCTCTATCAAAAAATTAAAGGATACTTTGTTAGAACGCAATTTAAAAACTACCATGTTTTAAAGACCAATAGAATTAAACATCTCAGTAAATGTAGTAAGCTCTGTTCTTCAGAATAGGTTTTTGCAAACAAAACAAAACAAAACAAAACAAAACACTTTTATTACGGTAATGTCATCCCAGATTTTTTTTTCTTTTAATCAAAGGTGTCTTGATAACAGCTATACTTTATCCGAAATCTGCAAAATGCAGAAAAGGAAATTAACATGAAAGTATTTGCCTTTCAAATAACCCCACTCGGAGCTGATTACTGATAACATCTTGATACATTTTCCAGCTAAGTTTCCTCACCTGAGGAAAAGGACCCTGTTAGGAAGAGTGAACTTGGGGGCAGACGGCTTGAAGCACACTGCCAGATGCTGGAACAGGCAGACTAAAAAAAAAAGAAAAAAAAAAGAGGAAGATCAGAAATCTTCAGAGCCCAGAAGCAGCAGACGTCTGAAGGGTCCCGCAAGCGCTTTGGATTCCCTGTTTGCAGACTAAGAAGCTTGCGGTGGCATGGAGGGTTTACAATCCATTTCTGGACGCTGCTCCTGCCCGCGGAGCTTCTGTTCCTCATCTAGCACATCTCTGTGCATCGCTAATTAGAATCGCGCTGGAAACGCTCGCGAGCGGGGGGGTCCTCCAACCCTTGGTTCATCGCAGGGGACACCTGCCTGCGACTCCAAGCTTCTGCAAGCCGTTCCCAGCGAAGTCGGTGCCACCACCTCCCGCCGAGGGCACCGGTTCAATCACAGGCGGATTCGGGTTCGCGCCGAGCGGCCGCCCCGCCCCGCTCATCCCCCCCACATCCCCCCGAACCGCTCCGCCCGGAGCAGCGGGAATCGGTCCCCGGCGCAGCCCAGTGACCGGAGCGCGCGGGGCCATCTCCGGGAACACCCCTCCCAGCCCGAGTGACCGACCAGGCGCCCTCCGGGTTCGGGAGCCGCGGGGCCGAACGATCCGGGGCAGGGCTCGCCTCGCCAGTGACATCACTCCAGAAGCTACTCTCCGCTCTCGGCGCCTGCCTTCGCGAGGCGTCAGTCCGTTTGTCCGTTCCCTTCCGTCCACTGCAGGAAAGGAGGGCTTCGTCGCCGAGCAGGGACAGAGCCGGGCACCGAGGAAACGCCGGACCTGGAGGAGGAGGGAGAGTGAAGGCAGCGAGGGAAGGAGGACCCCGGCAGGCGACAGCATGAAATTCAGCCCAGCACACTATTTGCTGCCTCTCCTGCCCGCGCTGGTCCTCAGCACCAGGTGAGTCCAGGAGCGAGAGCGAGTCGAGCTAAGGGGGTGCGGGTGTGTGTGTGTGTGGGGGGGGGGGGTAGGGTTTGAACCTCCTCCCCGTCGCCGGTGGGGGGCTAAGGAAAATCACTTTATCTGGTTGCACCTACCTCCGCGTCTAAGTTAGAGGGGGTCTTTGGTGGTGCTTAAAAATCTTTGCGGGAGAGTGGAAATCTCTGCTAGTTGTCCCAGCTTTTGCAGAAAGTCTCCACCTAGAACTGTCCCTTTCAAAGACGTGAGCACGTTTCTCTAGAGTCCTAGTAGGAGCAAACAGAGACCACGGGGGTAACTGACTAAAAGGAGAAAGGAAACTGACAAAGGCTGGGCTCATGCTCAGGATAAGTGCTTCATTCCTGTGGTCTTCATAACACCTGGACGTTATCTCTCCCCATCTCATCCCCGAAGAAAAGTGTGTCTGATTTGCAGGGACTAGGAACCAAAGAGAAATGAGTAATCCTAGAAGATGATAAACCTAACACAAAAGTCCTGGACTTGTTAAATGGCCTCTTTTGCATTCTGAGGTCTTGAGTAGGCTTAGTGATAAGGGTTTTCATTTGACTGTCTTCAAACAGGTCTAATTCAACAGCACACCAGGCGATTAAAAGTTAGAAGGCACTCTCAGTGCTGATGTAGAGATTCTAGTCAGAAACAATTAAGCACTGTACTCCGTCACTGACCATAGATGGGACTTTAAATCTCAGTACAGAGGAGCTATTTTTGGTTGAGTTTTCAAATGCTGTGACTGAAAGGAGTTTTGTGACTCCCCTCTGTTGATCAAGTCCCAAAGTTGGTGATGGCCTTGCATTCTTCTGCAAGAGCAGCACAAAGGTAGATTGTTTCCTTGCCCAGGACTGTCCCTTTATTCTGTATGTCCTTAAACATAATATTGGCAGCAACTTCTTTCCTCTTGGCCACTTTAAAATAAATAACCCACACAGGATGAGGATCTTTTCAAATCTATGTGAATAAAATCATTATCTGATTGTGCATCTGATGGAAATGAGAAGGGAAAATGGGGGTTGGATTCTGAATTCTGAAGTTCAGAAGAATGAAGAAAACACACACATTATTAAAAATCAAGAGAACAGAATTCTTGATTACATTTCTTACCTATTCACATGCTTTCAGATTCTTGTAATTCAGCTTTCCTCTTAGGAAAGACCAATTTAACACCAGTAGTTGGTCAACTTAGTTTTGTCATGCCTCACAAAACCCAGGTGACTTCCGCAAGATAAAAATGGAATGTGAGTTTATTTACTCATTTATTTTTATTCTCTAAGGTTTTCTTGTCATTTCAGTTCACTTAACTTACCTGGTTTTAAAGAATCATTTCATTCCCAGCATTAAACTAACTTACTCCAATTAGAAAATCCATGTTAATATTTGTGCTGAAGTCTGAAACAATTCACTGCAACTTATTAATCACATTTATTGTTTGATGTGCCTTTCTATCTTTTCTAAACTTATTTTTTTATTCTTCTAGGAAAGGGAAATCTTTTAGGTAGGACACTTAAATGGATGCCTGACAACGTAATGTATAAAATAATAAAATAATAATTTTTAGGCAGTGACACCCTGGCCAGAACAACTCTTTAAAAAAAAAACATTTCTAGTATTTTAAAAGCACATTTTTCACTTTCTGGATGTTATAATTTAAAAGTTACCAGAAAACTCTATAGTCTCTAGGTTGCAAAATTTATTGTGATTATGCAATGAAGACAGCCATCATATTCACTTTTATGACAATGTTAATATTTAATAGGGATAAGATATTCAACAAATCAAAACATAAAAGTGGAATGTCATTCCTCATTTGCTTTAGGTTTTAAACTTCTATTTGAAGTGTGACATAACTTCTTTAAATTTTCTTGCTTACAAACTAAACAGAAGGAGTGCAGTGGAGTTAAAAAGGGGAAAGTTTTATAATATGATATATCTGATTAGTGTGATTACTCTGTAGTTATTTGATTTACTATATACCAAGATTACCCGTGGCAGCAAGTTTGAAAATGGATATGTTAGCATGATATGTTCTTTTTCAAGATGAGATTGGTTTAGTGGACACCAGCAAAAGAACATTTTCTTTGCGATATGTTAAAACTATATAATAATATATTATAAATAATATAATTATTTCAAAAGTTTATAGCCATGTGATTAATATGCAGGTTATAGCCTAAATTGAACACATGGTGAAGGAAGTTTTATTAGAACAGGTGAGCTTTTTGTTTTGCTGAGAAAAAAATATTTGTGGCTCAGCCATCAGCACCTGTGACAATGAGTTTTAAACCAAAGACTTCTGCTACCTTAGTCAGAATGGCCCAACTATAAAGCAAATAACAATTCATATGTTTAGACAACTTTTGTAGAGGGAAGCAGTAACTGCGTAGACTTTGACTTATATGACTTATTTTTTATTGTCAAAGTCATTGCAAATGTTTGAGAACTGTAGCTCTGAAACTCCTGATGCAAAAGTTTATAAATGTCAGCATCTCTCACTTTCTATGGCCTTTGCTCTTTAACACCTTGCTGTTTTGGGTCTAATGTTCAGCTGGACTTTAAAGTAAAGGGATATATCCACTAAAAACCACACCTAGAGGAAGATAATAACCATATAATCAAATGAATTCTAAAGCGATCAAAGAAAGATTATTTTATAGATATTGGCTCTCTATATTATCCTGTTCCTTTCCTCATAATTTTGTAGCAATTTTAGAGTCTATAGCAAAAAATTCCATGATTTTCACCATAGAGAACATTATTTCACCTCCAGACTTACATTATCCCCAAAGAAAGGTAAATATTCACTTTAACTATAGCCAGAAATTGTTCTCAGTTACATTGGAAAATCCCAGAGGGTTTTTTTAATAGCTGTATAATTCTTAACTTTATTTTCCTCTCTTTAGAAAGTTCATATACATTTGAAAATCAACTTAGTATTATAAAGTCTGTAATACAGCATTTAATTTAACCTATATACAAATAACTGTGGTAAAAAAAATCAAGTCTATGTATAAGCTTAATAGCTTAAGAGTAAAATGACTGTACTTTTTAAATACTTTTATTCTGCACAGCTTTTTTATTGCTTTCTGAAGTTGCCAGCCATTCACTTCTGAAAGAAGTAGTGTAGATACTGAAAAGAATAGTAGGGTGGAAAAAATCTTTCAGAAGTTCTTGGTGAAAAAGGGACCCACGGAGTGCTGGAGAAGGCTTCTGCTTTAGTCTGCTGAACCTCTGTTTCTTTATACTGCAATTCCACTCTTGATTCCACTGGTTTATTGAGCTTTAAATGACTAAATGGGGAGAGAAGCATGGCAGGGGAGAAGTGAAGGTCTACTGACTTCTGGTGGTTTTTCAGCAAGCAAGAACTTTAAGCAGATGTTCCGTCGTAGTCCTCCCAACAGGCATCACCTTAGAAGTGTCTCCTGAGCCCTCTCTGATCGGCGGGTGTGCCATATGTTTACTTTGAATCTTTCTTTTTGATGACACTAGGCATTTGAAGATGCTCCAGGCTCTTTTTGTTAAGTTGGTTACCTAACTTCAGAGTTGACTTGATGTATAGGATAAGAGAATATAAGAATCACAACCATAACTAAACACCAAATAATGTTAAATTGAAGCATATAAATTTAGTGTTGGAAAGGTCTTTATGTTCCCCAGATGGGTTTTGAGATAATGTGCTTCTCCATGTTCTATGTAATTTGAGTCTTGCAACATTGAATCCTACATATACTTTTATGATAAGAATTGCAGCATTCGGTGTAATTAAGAGTAGAATGAGTCTGAAGAGCATTTAAGAACATTTATGATCACTCTTAAAAACATTTAAGATCACCATTCAGAGAAATCTCTTTTGTAGACTAAGAAGATATTGACTTTTTTTTTAATTTTCAAATTTTAATTCCGGGCCTCAGTGACCTTTCACTAATAGTACTTTCTTACAAGACTTATTTGGGGTGGAAAGCATACCTGGGGGTGCTCAAGAAATCAAGGCTTTATCCTAACTTTGTTTATACTTCTGGCTCTTAGGACCATTTGAGATCAAACTAGAATCAGCTGTGTGCAATGTTAGGCCATTAACCCCTGTGATATCTCCTTGGCCCTTAAGTCTTACATGAAGGGTATCTTTAGAGTTTAACTTTTCCCAATGATTAAAGAAAAGAGGACTTTAAAACAAATTCTCACTGTACAATGATCCCAGACCATATTTCATAAGTTGAAAGAATGAAATTGATATAGCAACTAGAAGTAGAAGTCACTGAAATTCCAGAGAGGTGTGTGGCTCTAAAGAAATGTTTTCTTATAAGAATGCCATAATGATGGGTGCACCCATTTTTGACTCATGACTTCTAGGGGAAAAGCCCATTAATAGTAGTGTTAAATAAATCATCCTGATTAAACAGAATATATTTAATATTCTTTCCTTCTTCGAAAGAAAAAAATTCCACTCAGGGTCCAGGAAATAGTTAAAGAAGATTGTTAAAGAAATCAGGGGTTAAAGTGCTATAATTTTTATGAGCCTGATCCTGGTTTGATTCCCAGCATCAAATGTTCTCCCTAGAATGTGGTGTGGTCCTTATGGCTCCAAGTACATCAGGACCACATCCCTATTCCATAGCACTGAGTTGACCTGTTTAGCTGGCATTGAACTGCCACGAATGGTCCCCAGAACCTTTGAATCCACTTAGGAGACCTCCCAAAATAAAAAGCAAAAAAAATCTATGGAGACCTTCATTTATTATCTTTCAAGATATATTCATTATTTTCATTACTAACCATCTATAGTGTTCCTGCAGTGGGTCAGTTATTGAGTCAATAAAGTAATTTATTTTATAAATGCATATTTCCATACTTTAGTCATATAATTAATACGTATAAGACAGGAGTGGCCAAATAATTTTTAAAATTACAGTGTAAATATCGATGAGTGAACAGTAACAGCAAAGGAGTATCATAAATAAGATCTGCTTTCC